TTAGGAATTATACCATTCTTGTCCTTCTCTGGCATATCATCAGCCGTTCCAACTTCACTTTCTCGGAAGACTAGATCTCTGCTTCTGATGACCTTCTTCTTTACAAGATCCTACAATCTGTACCCGAACTCTTCATCTCCATATCCGATGAATATGGAGGGAACAGATTTATCATCTAACCTTGTTCTTTGCTCCTTTGGTATATGTGCAAAAGCTCTGCAACTGAACACCTTCAGATGCGAGTAGGACACCTCCTTGTTGGTCCAAACTCTTTCTGGGATGTCAAACTCCAATGGAACTGATGGACTCCTATTGATTAGGTAACAGGCTGTCTGAACTGTTTTACCCCAGAATGACTTAGGCAGTTTAGTCACTCTGAGCATGCTTCTCACCTTCTCAACAATGGTGCGGTTCATTCTCTCAGCTACACCATTGTGTTGTGGGGCTACTGTCTTTTCATGTCTGATCTCATGGCTCGAACAATACTCTTTAAATTCCCTTGAAGTGTACTCACCTCCATTGTCACTTCGGAGATGCTTTAGCTTTTGGCATGTCGCCCTTTCTACCATAGCATGAAACTTCTAGAAAACTTGAAATACCTGATCTTTGGTTTTTAAAATATAAACCCATAATTTTCATGAAGCATCATTAATAAAATTAACAAAATATTTGTTACCGCCCATCATTTCAATTTTCATTGGACCACAAACATCAGAATATACCAAATCAAGTATATTTAATTTTCTTTCAGACGATAAATGAGACTCTATGCTGCTTACCAAATAAACAGTAATCATAAGGTTTTACCGTTGTAACTTTGCCATAAAAAATGAGTGATTTCCTGGCAAGAATCTGCAATCCCTTCTCGCTCATATGAACCATCCTTTTGTGCCACAAATTCACCTTGGCGTATTTCTGCATTTGTCTTGTACAACGTGCCACGAGCAACTCCCTTTGCAATCATCAATGATCCCTTGGTGAGTCTCCACTTTTGATTTGCAAAATAATTCTCGTATCCTTCTCGGTCTAAAGTAATTCCTGAGATCAAGTTCATCCGCAAATCAGGTACATGTCGCACGTCCTTTAGAACCAATATACATCCGATATTTGTCTTGATATAAATGTCACCGATCCCCGAAATTTTTGAGTAACTCGTGTTACCCATTCTCACAGTTCCAAAATCACCTGCTATATATCTGTAAAATATTTCTCTTATCGGTGTGGCATGGTAAGACGTTGTATCAACCAAACATTCCGACTCTGAACCTGACAAGTGCATGCATTCTTCTTCCTCATTTATAAAGAGGATAACATTATCATTGCTTTGCACCACGACAGTTGTGTTGTCGTCATTCTTCTGGCCACTGATTTCACCTTTGCCCTTCTTTGAATTTGGGCAATCTCTTTTGAAGTGGGTTGATCACAATTGTAGCAATTTCTAGCTCTTGATTTGGATCGGTTCTTAGACTCCCCACGAGCTCCGAATCTACCATAGTTGCTCGAACTCCTTTGATAACTCATGCCTCTACCTTCTGTGATGAGAGCTTGTCCTTGATTTTAAGGTTTCTTTTTTATATTCCCATTAAGTAGAAGAGCCAATGTGACGTCTTTTAACTCAATAGTAGTTTTACCGTGCAAGATGGTTGTTGCCAAATTATCGTACGAAGATAGCAACGAGTTCAATAGCAAGATGGCTTTATCTTCTTCCTTGATTTTCACTCTGAGGTTGGCGAGCTGTGTGATTAGTTCGTTAAACACATTTAAATATGACAAAAAATTCGTAGCTTCACCCATGTGTAGGGCGTATAGCTGCTTCTTCAGGTACAATTTATTTGTCACTATTTTGGACATGTATAGGCTTTCAACCTTGTCCAAATGCCACATGTGGTGTCTTCATTAATGATGTTATTTACCACATCATCTGATAAGTGCAACCTGATTGCACTAGTAGCCATTTCATCCAAGTCAGCTCAATCCTCAGCTTTCATGGTATCAGGCTTTTTGGCATCAGCATCTAGTACCTTGTGTAATCCTTGTTAGATGAGCAGAGCACTCATCATTCTTTGTCATGTTGAGAAACCGCTATCTCCGTTGAATTTTGCTACCTTGAACTTTATTCTAGACATTTGTTTCCACTGAGTATAGTACTACCGAGTACCGATAGTGAATAGTACTTCTGTGAGCGAGCAGAACCGGGCTCTGATACCAGTTGTTGGAAATAAACCCCCTACCAAAATAATATTTACGGTAATAACAACGGAATAATAGCATAGTACCGAGATATGGTAATTAACAGGAATAAAAAAGAACAACAAGGACACAAAGATTTTTAACCTGGAAAACTTTTCTGAATAAGGAAAAAAAAACACAGGCCCGAGAGGAGAAAAATAATTCACTATAACGAGGAATTTTACACCAGTAGTCCCGAGTAAAATACTCCAGGGACCACTGTACACTCAAAAGATATAACCCTTTTTAAGATTCTCAACTCACTACAATATCGCTCACACTCTCTATTTTTCCTAGACAGTCTATTTTTCACAATGCTTGAGAAATACTCTCTACAACTATTGTGTTGCTTCTCTTTCTGTGTGATGTACAATGAGAAGCAGATAGCTTCCTTTTATAGGAGAAATGACCTACTTCTTCAACCAATCAGAACGAAGTATTGGTTGAAAATTTGCATTGCAAATTTTTCATGACGCCTACCAATTTGGCAACCAAGTCCAATTTGGCAATTTGGACTTTTTTATTATGGGGATGGACCCTACAATAGGTTATTTTCACAACTCGAACCCGTGATCTCCTGGTCACATGGCAACAACTTTACCAGTTACGCGAAAGCTCCCCTCCTACCATAAAATAGATATGCATAGAAAAAAAAAAAATAAGCAGCATGTGTAGACAGCATATTATAATCCTTTACCTAGAAAGATAAAAACAAACACTTTGTTCCTCCAGGGCAATCTCCAATTGGATAAAGAATGTGCATGCTAAATTTTAGTTAGAATTTAGGAACTAAAGTCCCTAAAGCTCATAAAAGAGCATAGTAGGTAGAATTGTTGCTGTACTTACATATCTGAATTATACCTATCATTGCTTTACTCTTTTGCTTTTCATTTTATTCTTGTCCAGCTTCTGTAATTAGCTTTTGTCTTTTCCCTTAAAATATATCATAGCATCTTTTTCCCATAAAACAGACAACATCAAGACCAAACTTCAGTCTTCAGAAAAAAATTATTCTTACAGATCATTTACTGATTATCAAAAGCACACGCTTCCAAAACAAGAATCACCAAATCATTCCATTGGAAACCATGAAGTGTAAGAATTTAGGACATAATATAAGCCCCAAAAAGGACATCATGTCGAGTTGTCGATCATTACATTTAATGAGCTGAGGAATTATCTTAAAAAGGCAGTAAATTAATTGACCCTTTGCTTCAACATGGTAAAACCTTTAATTAACCTGGTAATACTAGTAATTAATATGCTACCGCNGGTAACACTAGTAATTAATATGCTACCGCTGGTTAAAAGTTTTTACATTGCCAGTATTATATAGTACTACTTAAGAAAGGGAACACTTGACGTAACTGGTAAAGATGTTGAGATCTAACTAGGAGGTCACGAGTTTGAGCCGTGAAAACAGTCTCCCAGGATTTTATACAAGCGGGTTCAGTCAAAAAGCATAGTAGCGACTTATATAAGGGGCACCGATAAATAAAATATGCTCACTACTCAGTTTTGTTCATCATGTGACCTCAAAATAAAGTCATTGACGCTCTTCTTTAATCAATGTTGAGAATGTTTTAAAACAAAAACTAATTAATTTTAATTTTTAGAATTTTATCTATATATATTAACAAACTTTACTTCAACAAATTTATTTATTTTAACAAAAAAATATTTAACCAACTTAAAAAAACTTATAACTGTAAGAAATTTAACATAATAAGAATTCACAAACCAAAAAAAGTAAGAAAATGAGTTTTCTCTCTACAAAGATTCGAATTTGTGACCTCCACCCCATTTGAACCCTCTTTGCCGCTACTCTTCAGTTTGCATTTGTATTAAGTGAGTTCATCGTGTTTTATATTGTCTGCTTTCATGAATTTCTGAAGACATTAACATGGAAAAATAATTTATTTTTTCGACAAATTTAAACCCTTACTAAAAGGGTCCGTCCCTACCAGACCCGCGTATAGCGTGAACTTAGTACACGGATTGCCCTTTTAGTATTATATAACTTAAATCCTAAAATTTATGGAACAAAATGGAAATTCAAGCTATAAAGCTCATTAATCGTTATCAGCAGTTCACGATTCACCAACCATACAATTAAAACAACCGAAAGATAATTCAAATAAAAAAGCAAAATTCAATTTTTTGGTCTCTACTTACTTATTTCCCTTGATTTTGAACCATGTTTCAGCACAATGCTCATGTGCAGTAGCCAAATCATCTTTACAGGAACATCCCAATTCAATGGCAATCCCACACTCACTCACCAAACTCAGGTGGCAAATTCTGCAATCTCTTTCAATTTTCAGCTTACTTTCACCATATCCATTTTCTATATCCACTGAATTATCAGACTCATTAGCACGTGCATCAGCAGTGGAATAAAACTGAGAATAACAAGAAACGTTATCGGCGTCGGAGATATTGACACTGACGGAGCTCCGGCGACTGTGGCCGGAGCACTCTAAGTCCACGTGGGACAACTCTACTCTTGCCATTTCAATGACCCAAATACAGAAAATTCCTTCTCAAAGTGAAAAAAGAAGAAGAAGAAGAAGAAGAATTAATTCCTTTGAAAAAGTTGAAGGTTTTAGTAGTACTTGCAACTTCAAAGATTTGTTTTTTATAGTACACTGCATGAGTTAAGGCTATGTGTCTCTGCCTTTATTATTAATATGAAGAATTTAACAAGGTAGGTGATGAATTTGGTGATATATTAACTCAAATATCTTAAATCCAAAAGAGAGAACAAGAGAGAGACTGAGTTAACAGCTTGTTTAGATGGTTGTTACCTGCGTTATTTTATTGTTACTTTAAATGCAATATTTGTTTTGATTGTTACTTAAATTTTATTGTATCGTATCGTTAAATCTGACGTTATGTACAGACGAAAAGTGATATTTTATGGAACGATTGATGTGGTCACGTTGTTACCTTATTGTTTCCTCTCATCTTGTCCTTCGTTATTATTAAATAATCTTATTTTATCCTTTACTCTACCTTTTTATATAATAATTCTACCTTGTATCTTACTCTTTTTTAATAATATTACCAATTTATTCTTTATATTGTTGGTGCATGATATCATGAAATATCAAATAATGCAATCTTTCTAAATATTATAATATCAAAACGATACCGTATAATACAATACATTATAAAACGATATATAACAACTCGAGAGAAAAGGTTTGGAATTCGACCTCCCCTTANAGAATCTTATAATACGAGGGCTAGTGACTGGTCAAGTCATTAAACTTAGTCATTTTGATCAACATGGCTGCAAGTGGACTGGGTTTATGGGTTTAAACTGACTACGACCAAAGTCGTGGCTACTTCAACCAAAAAAAGGGCGACCCCCTATTCAAACCAAAAGAAGTACCTCACCTCACTTACGAAGAAGTTGTTGGAGCTGGGCTCCGAACTATGAGAGTTTGCTTTTTATCTTTCTCAAAGCGGCCGTAAGTTTGCATCTTGAGTCTTAAGAATTGGGTCCCTTAGCCCCTGGATTGGTGCGCAACCATCCAAATAAGTTGTAAAGTTTTAGCAAATGGAAATATAAGAGAGCGGTGGAAAAGAACAATAACGTAAAAGTGAGAGGCTCATGGTTATGTTGTAATAGCTGTGAGACAAAGGCCCTACCCTTTGGACAATTGGTATAGTTGATAATGAGTTGTATTTTGTTTGTTTTTTCTACAATTTAGCCATTTTTTAGTGACGATGGCATACGATTTGAAAATCGGTAAATAATAGTGACATAATTGGAAGATACGACGTGCGTCTTAACTCACATATTATCATACCACTAAATCAAAGCCCCGAAACCTATGCTTATACGGTAGTTGGTGGAGAAATAGAAAACAAGGCCAACAAAGCCTTACTCCGCGGGAGTATACAATGATAATGTTAGGCACTCAGGTGAGACTACATGTTGAACTTCCGATGGCACTTTGTTTTGACCTAAGCTATGCAACAACGATATCTCCCTTGATCTTTGGCGTATGTGCTTGGCGGGACCCATAAGACGCTCACTTGGAGATTTCTTACTCGAGCTATTCCAAGAGTCTCCGATAGTTGAAATGCATCCAATAGACTCCATGTTCCGCTCATCCCCTTTGTCAGCTTCTTGATTGGGATACTATTACCTAGTTTCCTAAACTTTAGACCTCAACTGCCGGACCTGCCGGGCTAGAATAGCCATCGGCTCCTCCTCGTAAGTCAAATCTTTGGCCAATTGGACTGAGCTGAAATCTAACACATGGGACGGATCACCATGATATTTCCGGAGCATGGACACATGGAACAACGGATGAACCACTGATAAACTAGGTGGTAATGCAAGCATGTAGGCTACTTCACCCACCCTTTCAAGAATTTCAAAGGGTCCGATATACCTAGGGCTCAACTTGCCCTTCTTTCTGAAACTCATTACACCTTTCATAGGTGAAACTCGGAGAAATATTCTTTCTCCAACCATGAATGCAATATTACGAACTTTACGGTCGGCATAACTCTTTTGCCTAGACTGAGCTGTGCGAAGTCGATCCTGAATAATCTTGACCTTATCCAAGGCATCTTGTACCAAATCGGTACCCAATAACCGAGCCTCTCTCGGTTCAAACCAGCCAACTGGCGAATGACATCGCCTTGCATATAATGCCTCATATGGAGCTATCTGAATGCTCGACTGGTAGCTATTATTATAAGCAAACTCCGCAAGTGGCAAGAAATGATCCCAAGAACCTTCAATGTCTATAACACAAGAGCGAAACATATATTCCAATATATGAATAGTGCGCTCTGACTGTCCGTCTGTCTGTGGATGAAATGATGTCTTCAATTCCACCCGCGTGCCTAACTCACACTGTACAGCCCTCCATAAATGTGAGGTAAACTGCGTACCTCGATCTGAAATAATAGACACGGGCACACCGTGAAGGCAGACAATCTGATGAATATAAATTTTAGCTAACCTTTCTGAAGATTAGGTAACTGCCATTGGAATGAAATGTGCTGATTTGGTTAACCTGCCCACAGTGACCCAAACTGCGTCAAATATTCTCTATCTGTGGGAGTCCAACAACAAAATCCATAGTGATACGCTCCCATTTCCATTCAGGAATTTCTA